ATATATGTCTATATATATGTATTATACATACACGAATTTGCTTGATTCGGCAGGGATGACCTGCTAATCGAGCTCCACTGTAGCCGCTCTGGAGAAGGCGCTCGATCACTCGTCCGCGAGCGCGGGGTGGTCCCTCGCGTCCGCACAAGCGGGGCCACGCTGGGCCGGGCGCAAAGCTCCCTGGGGAAGCCAAAAGGTACCGATGTCGCTACTCCCCGGACCTCTCCTGGGGAGAGCTCTGACCAGATCTTCGAGGCGAATGCAGTGGTTCGGGCCGGGCGAAAGGGGGGATAGCAAAGGGGGGGTTTGAAAATCAGCTCACGTAGCTGATTTTCCTGGCGCTTCCCGGCGCCAGAGGCAATCTGGCGCATCTGCCAACGCTGAATCCGATCAGCACCGACGACAGCATCACCCAACCGATCCGCATGAGCGACAGGACGACCACCTTGAGCGGCCCGCGTGCCGACGCCCACGTCAGCTTGTCACCACCCGCCTCGACCCTGTCCAGCGTCACGCGCCAGGCCTTCTCCAGCGCACTCATGGACACAGCCTGCTGCCACACGACCGTGGCGTAGTGCATGGGCGGCTCGACGGTCGCCGCATAGACTGGGTCGTACCACGGGTTCCGCTCGCTGGCCAGGTAGAGCGCGTTGCTGCCGCCGCGCCCCTTGGCCCCAGCAAGTCGGGCCGCCTCCGAGCGCATCACGGCCAGCTCGGAGGGGGCCACGCCGCTCGCAGCCGCACCGTGGGCGGCGGCAGGCAGCAGGCCCGTCTGCCACAGGCGCGCCGCACGCCCTCCAGCAGCTCGGCGCAGCCTCGCCGCGCGCCTCAGCCGCGGCCTCACGTTCTTGAGCCTGGTCTTGACGACCGTCCTGCAGGCCTTGGTCCCGTTCAGGTCATGGCCCAGGTTCCGCATGTGCGGCTGCGAGCCCATCCTGAGTCGCTTGGCAAACGGCGCCGCTGCAGCGCGGCTCTGCCTCGACGTCGCCACGTAGCCCGACTTGAGCTCCTGCAGCAGGGGGCCCACGTCCTCGACCTGGTGCTTGAAGCGCTTGACGGCCAGCCACAAGACGCGCACGCCTCGCAGGTCCGTGCCGATCCACTGGACCGAGGTGTCGTCGGCGAGCGTGCGCGGGATGACGTCGCACGCCTCCAGCCGCCTCAAGGCTCGCGCCGTCGCCACCACCAGCACCGCCATCGAGTGGGAGCAGCCCGCCAGTATGCCCTGGTGCGCCGTGGAACTCTTCGACATCGAGCCGAACGCCTTGATGCGCCTCGGCAGGTGGTGGTACCTGAGGATGGCCCACATGAGGCGGAGTGGAAACCCCATGGCACGAGCCTCGTCCAGCAGCCTGCCCCCAATCAAACTGTCGAACGCCTTCCACGCATCTAGGAGCACCGTGACGCTGTGCCCGCCATTGATGGTCATGATCTCAGCCGTCAGGTTGTGGTGGAAAGCGGCTGCCGTCGAGGTCCTGCCAGCTCCACCAGTGCCCCAGAGGTTGGGCACGTCCGCCTGGTCGAGCCAGGCACGCGATATCGTCGAACGCGCCTTCGCCCACAGACGGAGGAAGGAGTTCACCAGGGCGATCAGCCTGCATCCCCCACTCGCCTTGGGCAGGCGCACCAACACTGTGTACAATCTTTCAGTCGGCCACACCTCAACCTCTCGCAGTGGCTGACAAGCGCCGACAGCACGAAGAGGCTAATGTCACTGAGGTGCCAGAGGGCCCGCGGGGCAATGCCCGTCTGGCCCACCGCGGTGCGCCCCTTGAAACGAAGCGCAACGCGTCGGAGGTGTCCGACGCTCACCCGCGGGAGCTCGGCCCAGTCGTCAAAGTCGGGAGGCTTCTCCAGGGCGCCCTGCTCGTGGACGGTCCACACGTCCTTCCATCCGTCGAGCTCGCGGTCAGCCAGCTGGCGCGCCGTTTCCCTGAGCTTGCATGCGCTCGCGCGCATGGATTTGCAACCAACGCGCATGTGCGCACATAGATACATTCGCTGGGCTCCTCTAAATGCCGAGATGGTCGCCGTTGCTAGCTCGTGTTCAGTGGTCGCCTGCGGTTGCTTTGGTCAGGTGTTGCGCGTGGCCTATGCTTGTTTGCAAGTATATGTATGTGAACATGTGTGTGTGCATGTGTGTGTGTGCGCCTGTGTGTGCGTGTGCGCGCGTGCGCGAGCGTGTACAGGGTGTGTGCCAGGGGGGCGGGAGGAGGGGGTGCACGGTGTCCGCACGGGGCGTGTGCCTGGCGGGCGAGCGGGGTACGGTGTGCGTACAGGGTGCGCCTGGCGGGCAAGCGGGACGGGCGCAGGGTGTGCGTATGATTTGTGTTTAGTGTGGGTGGTGTTGTGTTTACTTTAGTGTATGCCCTATATGTGCAGCCATGCGCTGCGGGCGTGGTGTGATCCTCCTCCTCCTCCTTCTCATCCTCCTCCTCCAGCTCCTCCTCCACGTCCTCCTCCTCCTCTTCCAAGTCCTTTCACTTCTCCACCTGCTCCTCTTCCTCCTTTTCCTCCTCCTCCTCATCCTCCTCCACCCCTCCTCCTCCTCCTTCAATTCCTCCTCCTCCTCCTCCTTCTCCCCCTCCTCCTTCTCCTCCTCCTCGTTCTCTTCCTCCTACGTTTCCTCCCCCTCCTCTTCCTCCTCCTCCTCCTCCTCGTCATCATTCTCGCCCGCATCCTCGTCCTCGTCTTCGTCCGCGTCCCCGTCCTCGTTGTTTCGAGGATGTCTCGAGCGAGAGCCCCCTTGAAGCAGGTCGTCCACCATGCCATTGGTTCGAGGATGTCTCGAGGAAGAGTCTTATGGTTTATGGTTTATTGGGAAAATCCCTGGAGATCCCATGTCCTGAGGATGTCTCAAGCGGGAGCCTCAGTTTTAACGTAAAGCGTCTTAAACCACATCCTTGAATATGTCATTGTGTCGAGAATGTCTGTGGCGGAACGGCCGTGTTAGGAGAATCCGCCAAGCGACTTGCCGTGTTGTGCCGCTCAGCCAAGGGCCTCTCGCATCTTAGCTCCGTATTTCCCCACATGCTTACTGGGGTTCTTGTTTTCTTCCAACACGCGCCGCACCCGCGTCTCCCTCCTCCTCCTCCTCCTCCTCCTCCTCCCCCTCCTCTTCCGTCCTCCCTCACCCACAGCACAGCACAGCACAGCACCTCAAAGCACACATATACACACATACACACATACAGACAAACACAAAAGCACACACACAGCATACAGCACACCACAGCACAGCACAACACAACACACACACACACACACACACACTGATGCACACAAACACACACAATCACACACAGCACACCGCACACGCAACATAACACAACGGGTGCGCAAAGTGTGGTCCCTCAGCGCGGCCTCTATCCGTGACACGCTCGCAGATCGTGGCAGGAGTGGCACTTTCTCGACACCACAGGGGGTGCGCAAAGGGTGGTCCCCCAGCGCGGCCTCTATCCGTGACACGCTCGCAGGTCGTGGCAACAGTGGCACTTTCTCGACACCGCAAGGGGTGCGCAGAAAATGGTCCCTCCGCGCGGCCTCTATCCGTGACACGCTCGCAGATCGTGGCAAGAATGGCACTTTCTCGACACCACAGGGGGTGCGCAGACGGTGGTACCTCAGCGCGGCCTCTATCCGTGACACGCTCGCAGATCGTGGCAAGAATGGCACTTTCTCGACACCGCAAGGGGTGCGCAGAAGGTGGTACCTCAGCGCGGCCTCTATCCGTGACACGCTCGCAAGTCGTGGCAAGAATGGCACTTTCTCGACACCACAAAAGGTGCGCAAAAAGTGGTCCCTCAGCGCGGCCTCTATCCGTGACACGCTCGCAGATCGTGGCAAGAATGGCACCTTCTCGACACCACAAGGGGTGCGCAGAGGGTGGTCCCTCAGCGCGGCCTCTATCCGTGACACGCTCGCAGATCGTGGCAGGAGTGGCACTTTCTCGACACCACAAGGGGTGCGCAGAGGGTGGTCCCTCAGCGCGGCCTCTATCCGTGACACGCTCGCAAGTCGTGGCAAGAATGGCACTTTCTCGACACCACAGGGGGTGCGCAGAGTGTGGTCCCTCAGCGTGGCCTCTATCCGTGACACGTTCGCAGATCGTGGCAGGAGTGGCCTTGGGGGCTTTTGTGAGCTGTCTTGGCGCCTCCTGGATTAAGATGTTCCAACCCACTTTAACCTTGACCACCAGCAGGAAGTTCGAGCACCGAGAAAATACCGAAACTGGAGGGTTTTCACGTGTCGGTCCCTGGGAGGCGATACTTGGTCGACACGTGTTCGATACTTTTCTGGGAGCTCGAATATATTTCTGGGATGTGGTCCTCAAGTACGATTGTAGCTCATAACTCCTGGAGCGCTCTTGGGGGTCTTTTGGGGCTCTCTTGGGGCGCTCTTGGGCGCTCTAGGGGCCCTCCGGGGCGTCTTTGGGGCCTCCTTTGGGCCGTTCGAAAGCCCTCCGGGAGCGATTCCAAGACGATGTCGATTCGGAGTCCCCTCCGGGCCCGATTGTTTGAGGATGTCTCGAGCGAAACAACCATTTTTCAGAAACCTGACCGGACAAGAACGGCAAGCGTGGCTTTTGTTTGTGAAATTTGCCGCGGGCTTACCAGCACAGCAGACCGCATGAACATAGCAGATCACAGCAGCACGGCAGACCAGCACAGCAGACCAGCACGGCATGGCAAACCACCAGAACATAGCAGACCAGTACGGCAAGGCAGACCATCACGGCAAACCAGCACGGCAGCCAAACACGGCAGACCAGCACGGCAGACGACAGGAACATAGCAAACCACATCAGCACGGCAGACCAGCACGGCCAGACCACAAGAGCATAGCAGATCACAGCAATACGGCAGACCAGCAAGGCAGACCAGCTCGGCAGACCAGCTCGGCAGACCAGCTCGGCAGACCAGCACGGCAGACCAGCACGGCATACCAACCAGCACGGCAGATCGTGTTTGTCATTTTGTTTGAAGGTGTCCCTGGCGGCATCGGCATGTGCGGCAGTCCTCAGGGCGCTCTGGGAGCCATCTTGAAGTCCTTTGCGAGCTCTTGCTTCACCAGCTTGACGCACTTCTTTTTTTGTCCGAAGGATCCCTCCTGCTCACCCTGACCTGCTCCGTCCACCGTCTGCAACAGAGACGGCCGAACGCGGTTCCACGGAGTCGAGGCGCGCACACGCTTGACATCGATTCAAACAAGCGGCACCACGCTACGCCTGACTCGCCCGCGCGGAGCTGGGAGCCCTCGGCTCAGTAGCCAATTGCGACGGAGCCCTTTAGATCCGAAGCTTGACCATACAACCGCGCCTCGAGGGACAACATCTTCTGGCACCCTTTCTCAGGCGCCGCCGCCTCCGTGTGGTCATCCTCTCCCAGCAGCCCTCCGACACGATACCCAGTGCGCTGAAAATTCTTGACGTAGACGTTCAGATACGGCTGCCCCTTGCCGGTGTGACCGCTGCCGACTTTGAGCTCCACAAGCCCGAGTTTCAGCCACTTCGGCGTCTCGTCACGCGCGTCGTGAGCGTCGAAGTGAAGGCCTCCAGGCCGCACCTTGTTCGCCCACGTCCCTGTGGCGTTGATCTCCTGGAAGTACATGTCCGAGCAGTGTGTCCCCAGTCGACGCGCGTCGGCCTCTACAACAAGCAACGCATCCTCGACGGGCATTCCGCGCGGAACGCTGACCAAGACAGATTTGCCTGGCCTCACCAAATCGAACCGCTGACCGAACATGTTCTGCAAGTGTGGATCGCCGGTGGCGGAGGACAATGACGTCGTCGGTGCTGGCGTTGGTGCTGGCGTCGACGCCGTAGTCGGTGCCTGTGTGGGTGAAACCGTCGGCGACGCCGTCGGGGAAGCAGACGGTGCTGCAGTCGGAGCTGCCGTGGGAGTTGCAGTTGGTGCCGCTGTCGGGGTCGCCGTGGGCGCTGCCGTTGGTGCTGCAGTCGGTGCTGGTGTGGGTGAGGCCGTCGGCGAGGCCGTCGGTGACGCCGTCGGGGAGGAAGACGGTGCTGCAGTCGGAGCTGCCGTGGGAGCTGCAGTTGGTGCCGCTGTCGGGGTCGCCGTGGGCGCTGCCGTTGGTGCTGCAGTCGGTGCTGGTGTGGGTGAGGCCGTCGGTGACGCCGTCGGGGAGGCAGACGGTGCTGCAGTCGGAGCTGCCGTGGGAACTGCAGTTGGTGCCGCTGTCGGGGTCGCCGTGGGCGCTGCCGTTGGTGCTGCAGTCGGTGCTGGTGTGGGTGAGGCCGTCGGCGAGGCCGTCGGTGACGCCGTCGGGGAGGCGACGGTGCGGCAGGCGAGCTGCCGTTGGGACTGCAGTTGGTGCCGCTGTCGGGTCGCCGTGGTGGCGCTGCCCAATTTGGTGCTGCATCGTGGCTGGTGTGGGGTGAGGCCGTCGCGAGGCCGTCGGTGCCGCCGTCCGGGGAAGGCAGACGGTGTCTGCAGTCGGAGCTGCCGTGGGAGCCTGCAGTTGGTGCCGCTGTCGGGGTCGCCGTGGCGATGCCGTGTTGGTACTGCAGTCGTGCTGGGTGTGGGTGAGGCCCGTCGCGGGCTCTCGGTGACGCCGATCGGGGAGGCGACGGTGCCGCAGTCGGAGCTGCCGTGGGAGCTCAGTTGGTGCCGCTGTCGGGTCGCCGTGGGCGCTCCGTTGGTGCTGCAGTCGGTGCTGGTGTGGGTGAGGCCGTCGGCGAGGCCGTCGGTGACGCCTCGAACACTACTTGGTAGACGGTCATGTGGTGATGGTAGATAGAATTGTAGCTGGTGGACCTGACGCGTAGTTCCACATTTGATGGATCCCAAAGCACTGATACGGTTTGCAATACGTTATTGAAAACTGTCGCGACGATGCTGCCATCAACCAAGATGTCCATTCTGTCGGATTTGTGCCTGTAAGGGCTTTCATCGGCCCTTGAGCTGGCTATGAAGGCTCCCACAGAACCATCGACGCAGGCAGGAATGGTCGCTCTCCATTCGGTGGACGTGCAACTACCAGTGCGTAAGTATTTGAAATCGGCGTTTTCGTTGCAACCAGACAAAGTTGAGAACCATTCAGGCGTCGTAGGAATACTACATGCCGTGGAATCTTCATGCAATCCCCTTGCCACATCTGAACCGTTCAGCCCGAATGCAGACATCTGCATGAACTGCATTTCGGCGCCCGCAAGGGAGGCAAGCGCAAATGCCGTCGCAAAAACAAGTATGTTTGCCATCGTTGAGTGGATGATAGTTTGGAAGAGTAGCAACAAATGTTCAGTACAGATGCGGGAACACGGAGCGCTCACCTGGCGGATTCTTGAGCCCGAATGGCTTGAGCCAAAATGGCTACGGATCAACAGCTTGACGCACTTGAGAAACGATACCAAAACAATGTTGAGAACATATGGTTGTTTTGAAGATGTCCCCAGCGAGATGGAGCCGTGCTAGACGTGTTGGTCTGCCGAGCTCCTGCTCATGTTCTGAGGATGTCCCTAGCGAAAACGTAGTTTTTGACTCAAGAGGTACTAAATCATCTCTGTCGACATCGCATGTTTCCGAGGGTGTCTCAGGCGAAACGCTCATGTTGGCAGATTCGTCACGTTCGCGATTTTCATGTTCTGAATAATGTCTCAAGCGAAACGCTTGGCTTTGTAAAAGACGATGTTGCGAAACTCTCAATTGTAAGAAGATGTCTCAAGCAACATGGCCACGTTGACCAGAATATCCGGACAAGAACGGGAAGCTCCGCTTCTCTGAGTTTGCATGCGCGCCCGCACGTATCTGCACGCAACGCGACATTGGCACACATGAGGCGCCCACATTTCAACAGGTACATGCAACTACACCACACCATGGTAACAAACGCACTACGCAGCAACCGTGGCCACATCAGTTACCGCGGGCAACAAACGAACCACAATTAATTTGCAGAAGGACCGCAGCAAACGTAACCACACTTCGACAGCTACCAACAGCTACACCAAACCACGATAGCAAACGCACTCAGCAGCAACCGTACCCACATTTGAGCATGAGGCCGCAGCAAACATGCTGGTATCTGAATTGGCTCCTCCTCCTCCTCCACCTCCTCCAACTCCTCCAACTCCTCCTCCTCCTCCCCCTTCTCCTCCCCCTCCTCTCCCTCCTGACCCTCCTCCCCCTCCTCCCCTCCTCCCTCCTCAACATCCTCATCCTTTTCCTCCTCCTCCTCCTCATCCTTCTCCCCCCGCCTCCTCCTCGTCCTCGTCCTCGTCCTCCCCTCCTCCTCCTCCTCCTCCTCCTCCTCCTCCTCCTCCTCCTCCTGAGTTGGCTCTTTAGTTACTACCCCTTAAAATAATATCCTAACAACCTCCCTTTACCTCCTTGTTCCGAGAAGGCGATGACGATGGGGGTTATGTACACGATGATGCAGACGACGATGATGACGATGATGATGATGGTGATGATGGTGACGATGGTGATGATGGTGATGATGATTATGATGGTGATGATGATTATGGTGGTGATGATGATGATGAGGGTGATGACGAGCAAGATGCTGATGATACTGATGATGATGACCACGACGACGATGGTAAGTGCGGCGATCATGACGGTGGTGATGAAGACAATGTATCTTAGACCGTCGTGGAGCGCTCCTGGACAGTCTTGGGGCCACCTTGAGCCCCTCCTGGGCCGTCGCGATACGCAAGCTCCCTGGATATCTCAACGTGTCGAATGTGTCTCGAGCGATATCCCCATGTTGAACAGGAGACGCATTGAAGCAGCTCGTTCACGATCCTATGCGTTCGAGGATGTCTCGAGCGAGAGCCTCTTGTTGAAGACTTCGACGAATTCGCAAGGTCCCCGAGTTTCCCTGGTGTTCGAAGGATGCATCGAGCGAGAACCTCACTTTTAACATGTACCGCCCTAAACCAACTCCTCGGAGATCTCACGTTGTCGAAAGTGTCTCGGGCGAAACGGCCGTGGTTGGGGGAACGTTTCCTCTGGACAAGAACGGGAAGCGCCGTTTCCCTGAGCTTGCATGCGCTCGCGCGCATGGATTTGCAACCAACGCGCATGTGCGCACATATATACATTCGCTGGGCTCCTCTAAATGCCGAGATGGTCGCCGTTGCTAGCTCGTGTTCAGTGGTCGCCTGCGGTTGCTTTGGTCCGGTGTTGCGCGTGGCCTATGCTTGCTTGCAAGTATATGTATGTGAATGTGTGTGTGTGCATGTGTGTGTGTGCCTGTGTGTGTGCCGCTGTGTGCGTGTGCGCGCGTGCGCGAGCGTGTACAGGGTGTGTGCCAGGGGGGCGGGAGGAGGGGGTGCACGGTGTGCGCACGGGGCGTGTGCCTGGCGGGCGGGCGGGGGGGGTGTACGGTGTGCGTACAGGGTGCGCCTGGCGGGCAAGCGGGACGGGCGCAGGGTGTGCGTATGATTTGTGTTTAGTGTGGGTGGTGTTTTGTTTACTTTGTGTATGCCCTATATGGGCAGCCATGCGCTGCGGGCGTGGTGTGATCCTCCTCCTCCTCCTTCTCATCCTCCTCCTCCAGCTCCTCCTCCACGTCCTCCTCCTCTTACAAGTCCTTTCACTTCTCCACCTGCTCCTCTTCCTCATTTTCCTCCTCCTC